ATTGGTGGCCACATACCACCTGGTGTCAGTCTATTCATCACAAATCAATGTATTCACCAAAAACAATTCTTCTTAACCGCTCCAAAGCAGATACCTAAACAGCGAGCTGCACTGATCTGCCACCATGGGTGTATAATGTGCAGTCCCAACTGTTTTAAGGCGATGAAGAAGAACCTTTCAACTTTATTTGGGTATCAAAAAAAGTTTCGAAACCACAAAATTACAATGGATTTAATCGTATCAAAGAACTAGAAATGTTGCAGCTTTTTTGGTTTTCATGTCAGCGTATAATTCTAATATTATCTTTGATTTTAGGATGGTTCATCGGAAAAACAAAACAAATTGACCAAGCACCAGGCCGAAGCAATAAATCATGGTCACTTAGTCCACACATACACACTAAAGCATGACCTTTAAGAAGTGATCAACCACTAATTAGTGTCCCTTAAACATATTCCTCCAGAGAAAAGTTTATTGGCTATCACTGGACATCATTTGAATGCTTCTTGTCACCTGGTTCAGTGAGTGGGTCAATACTGCAGCGTGTCAAGTGTCATAGAAGTTAGAAGACATAAAAATCTGTCAATGTAACATTGACTTTATGGCCAGCAGGATTTAAGCATATTCTTGCCAATATATCTTTCCGTAAGAATGCTTTGGCAGCAGCCCAGCATGCATTTTTACCCCATACCTGTGAAAAGAAAATGAGCTCTGAATACAGAGTGGCTGCACGGCCATTAACAGGACTCAGAAACAAGCACCACTATTAATCATTTTCACCGATTCTCTGGAAGGCAGCAATTTGTTCATTCAAGTATTCACATATGAAATGGAGGGGGGTATGAGCACTTCACACTCCTGTGTAAGTGTACAGGAGTTGGCACAGGACCGGCATGCTAAAATATTAACGTCAGGGGCTGTGAATATTCATGCCTGCTTGTTCCCCTTCATGAAATTGTGGAGGACAGAAGCAGTGTCCCGGGAGTGTGATCGGATTCTACTTGTTCCTGTTTAATTTCCAAGGACAAGTGGCTGCAGGCGGAGTGGGTGGCTGCTTGGTTGGGGTGAAACGCTGGCTGCAACATGCTTCAGACAACAGGAGGTAAAGGGGTTTGACTGCTGGGTCATGACAACTGACTGTGACCTGAAGTCATTACTGTCTGCATGGGGCCAATGACAATGGTTTAGTTCGTGTCTCCACCCATCTTCTCCGGTTGTAACTCTCTCCACAGGTCTTTTATATTTGCACAATGCTGCAAGGGTGAAAAGAGTTGTTCCCTTAAGAGGAGTTACTCACAAAAACCACTTCAGTGTTTAGATATTCAATACATCTGCAGCAGCTATTGTAACAAACTAAAAGGGAAAAGAAGATGACTGAATACAAGTAAGGGGGAGGGTAAATTTCGAAAGAAACCGGAGCGCACATGCGCGCGCGCGCGCACACACACACACACACACACACACACACACACGCGTACAATCCCTGGATCTGTTTTCAAAAGGTAACCAAGCAACGAGCTCCTGGTTGTCGGCTTATCAGGTAACTGTTTTGCGCCTGCTCCGAGGCTCACCAGGTTTTTGTTTACCCAAGGTCAGTGGCTTCACTCCTGACCCAAACAGAAAGGAGTGGTGGGGGGGGGGGTGTTTGAGACTGGAAAGAGCACCAGGGCAGGTCAAACAGCAATGTAGCACAGAAAATAACTGTACAATATGGACTTGCTGCCAAAAGAACATCAATTGGTGTCTGCTAATAAAAGGCAAGGAGAGGACAGGCATACCAGGCAGGGCAAACTGACAAACACAGTATTTCCTGGACGAGCTCTTTGATGACAGACATAAGAAACAGATAAGATGGCACCAGAAACACTCGAGTGGGGAGTAACAGCATCTTTTTTAAGTGTTTAAAGTCTGATGAAGTGAACTTGCAAATATTAAAGCAGACTTACTGTCATGTGTCAGCCTTTGAATTGAGCAGAGTAAGTTAGAGCATCTGATGTCAATGATGAAAGTGAGAGCCAAACCCACATTAGCAGGTGGTCTCCTATAACAACGTCTTTTTAAAAAAAACAAACCTCACCAGAGGGAATCTAAAAGGGAGCCCTGTTAAGTCTTTTACACCTATACTCATACTAAGTCTTCTTTTCATTTCTTGGTATTAAAATGTTTGGTTAGCTTGACTTTTAACAATAAAAAAAAATAACCAAGTAGCATACCACAATCTATTTTTCTATCTTTCTAAGACTTTCCCACTTGCATTATCTTTTCCTAAAATGAATATTCAAGTACTGTTTTCGCTAAAGACTTCAAACGTTTTGCAGCAGCAGAAAGCAGAATGACTAGACTTTTGGGTCATCGCCTTGTAAGTCCACAGTGATGATGTCATTACATGTATCATGCAGTTTAACAGAGGAATGACACATGGCACATAGGCGACCATAGACTGGCTGTGGAAGATTACTGTTTGCATAACCCCATTCAAATGAATTTGAAGTGAAATCCATAAGAGTCTGAGTTTAACTTGAAGTAACTTACACAAGTTTAGGGTGTTAAGATACCAGGGAAATAAAAGTTTTTAAAAATATCCAGAAAATGGGGGTGCCAGTAGCCTAGTGGTTAGTGTGAGCGCCCTGTGTACAGAGGCTTTAGTCCTCAAAGCATGCGGCCCGGGTTCAATTCTGACCATGACTCTTTTACAGCATGTCATACCCCACCCTTTCTCCTCGGTTTCCGACACTATCAACTGTCCTTTCTCTACAATACAGGCATAAAAAGCCCACAAATAAGTCTTAAACAAATCTCCAGGAAATGACAATGGAGGAACTGGTGGACCGTTTGTATTGCAGAGTCAAAAGGTTTACAACTGTTGGGAAGTCTGCAGTAAATTAACCTAAAGCATGGGAACATGGACACACATTTAAATTGGTTTCACAATAACCATAAAAATAACATCTAATGACGACAGTTAACACTGACCAAAGATGACCATGATGTAAAAAAATTCAGTTAACCTTTTTTCAACTTCTTTTGTCATTATTTGATATGATATGCTATGCAGCATGGTCAAATGGAGCAAAGAAAATGGAGCAGAAAGATCCTACTTGTTATCTTTCAAGAGCACATTGTTGTGTACTTCTCGGGCATGTTAAAAGAATGCGCCGAGTCTGGCAGATACTGTTATTGTCAGCTGAAGTGGAACAGTGCCCAAATGACGAGGCCGTGATGCCATTAAGATGGTAATGAGCCCAAACTAGTGGACACAACAATGTGAGTCATGAGACAAAAGAAGGTTTAAACAACACACACACACACACACACACACACACACACACTATGTAAACCTTATATTACGGTGCCCCAGCTTTTTGCATGGAGAGATGTGCTGGATGATCCCTAACAAAGAAGCACTTTATGACATGTGGTTTTTCCACTAATCAGCATACTGGAATGTCATTTCCCTGACCTGTGGCTTCTGTGGCTTCCCATTAAAACCTCAGAAAATATTTCAATAACTCAGCTACAGATCGAAGCCAAAGGACAATCCTGTTGCAAAAGTTTCACATTATTGTTCTGAGTGGGAGGAGGAGTGATCTGCTGGTTTCAGTGTAAATACCAGGACACAAAACAGCCACGCCCACGTGCATTCAGATTAATGAACTACAATGAACAAAACAACAGTGGGAAATTAATCAGCATCATTATGAGAGATAGTTTCAGGAATTTATAATTACAGGAATAAATACGATTAAAAAAAACATTCTGCTACGTTTCAACATGTGTTGCCCTGATGGCTCACTGTCAGAACAACCACGAGATTTGAATTTAAATCAGAAAATAGAATATTTTACCTGTCCTGTCCTTTTCCATATCAAAAACACCTAGATTTGTGTTATTTGAATAAATCCTGATTGATTTCTTGTGTGAAGCAGCTACATAAAAATAAATGAGATGTGCCCAAACTAGATTTTGGGTGTCCTTTAAGAGGAAGAGTACCTCAATTTCAACTTTAAATCCCCGACTATAAATGAGCACAAGCAAAGAAGGTTTAAAAATAACTATGCTGATCAAAGGTTTCTCTTCCCACGCTGTAATCTACCCACCTGCAGCATGAACAAACAGAACCCTTCTTAGATCAGGGTCAAAACCTGCATCAAATAATGGTGTTGAAACTAGAACGTGTGAATATGTAAATGAACCAAAACAAAGCTGTGAACAGGAGCAAACATGTGCTTAAAGTTAGATGCGATGGCATTAGATTTAGTGGAGGATGGAGGGGGGAGGGATGGGGGTCAGCAGATGGCAGACAAAAAAAAGGGCAGCACTTTGAAGTCCTGCAGCCACAGGTTTTAAAAAGCGGATCAAGCTATTGTGTTCACCGCACAGACTTCACACGGACGAAGAAATACCGGGCAGGAAAAGTCTTAAAAAAAAATCATCCACCGTCTAATTAATGTGGTAAAACCTAATCTGCAAAACATTATAGTAACCATTCACTCGATTTAAGTGATAAATCCACCTTATTCCGTTAACCGACACATAATCATGAAAAATAAAGCTTAACCAAAACCCCATTCACAAATTTGAGCACAAAAAGCCAACTTTGATTCATTAATTTAATGTAGTCCTCCAGTATGCCTGTTTCCCCTGAAAAACAACATGAGTGATTCATAACCAGGTAACAGTTTCGGGTTACCTCAGAAATTCAAAATGTGTAGAGACGCTACACAACTGTTAAACTGACCTTGCGTCAGAGTTTCTCCCCGGTGGGAAATGTGTTACGTGTTTTTTAAATGCGGTTTGTTTGATTGTTGAACAGGTAAGTCGCACTAACTTTTAGGTAAAAGGTAAATTAAAGTTAAGAGTATTTCTAACTTGTCGAAAAGGCGAGTTGCCATGTCAACGCTTTGTGGCTAACGTTAGAGTGCATGGCTGACCACACTCGCCGCCGTCTCATTAGAATCAAAGTAGCTAAAGACTGTGTGGTTTTAATTAATTAAACTTACCTGTAAACAGGCTCAGCAGAACACAGCAGACCCTGACTATCGACAGCTCCATTCCTGGTCCAGATATTCCAACTACTTCGTCCGCTGAAAGTTGCTCCAAGAACTTGTGCTGAATTCGAGTGAGAAGCGGCAGACTAGCTCGACCGAAGCATCCAAACTCCTCCACTCCTCCTCTCTCTCTCTGCAGGTGCACAGCGTCATGTGACCATAGACTGTAACGGCGCTCCAAAACAAGTCAGTATCGCCCTCTGCCGGTGGAGTATGGCAAGCCCTTTAACATTAAAACAGTCTGGCTGACAAGTAGCAATTTAGTTTTCACTAGTGGAAATAACATTTCCACTAGAAATGTAAATTCAAGATATCTGTAATTACATTCTTACATGTAATAATTCCAGGTTAAGATATCAATAATGTAATTTCGACAAGTAAGAATTGCATTTTAGAGATGTAGAATTAATTTATCATATCTGTAAAGTTAGAACAATTGTAGATATCAAAAATGAACTTTGTCACTAGTAAGAATAGAATTGTTGATATCAAGAATTAACATTTTTACTAGTGAGAATTGAGTTGTAGATATCATGAATTAGAATTGCGACATGTCAAAATGTCATTGTGGATATGTCGACTTTGAATTACAACATGTCAAAATTGAATAACAGATATCTGTAATTCAATTTGAATAGAAGTCAATGGCACAAGTTGACTAGTTGTAATTAAGTTACAGATATCTACAATGACCAGTTCCACTAGTGAAAAATGAATTGTAGATATAATATAATTAGAATTGTTACTAGTGAAAATTACATTGTGGATATGTCGCCTTGGAATTCTAATAGTCTAACTATTACCGCTAATATTTAAATGTTCAAAGTGCTTGCCATAGGTGGAGAGAAGCTGCACCGTCCCCAAGGTGCCTTATACATATGTGTGTGTGTGTAAATCTCGTCCAGGTCAGTGGCTCTCCCTGCCTCCAAAGAAGAAATAACAACCCGCATTCAAAAACGACTGCAACATTTTGAGGGTAGGCACTTTATTCTTCCTTACAACTGTAACTTGCTATAATGCTAAAAGTTGCTTAGTGCTAATACCGGATGTTGGGTCTTTGCAGATTTTTCCAAACCTTTCAGCCCAGTAAAGCCTTTGTATTGGATTTATTTTTTTTATTTTGAAATATCATGGTTATAAAATACAGTTTATTATACTGTGCTATTGTTCTGTACAATACTTTATTTCAGCCATAGTACAATGCAACAAACAAAATATGTGAAGCTAGGGTAAGTTGGTGGGCACTGGGCAGTCATTTTATTATTAAAAAACTCTTACTCTTTTGACTTTAGTTGCCACAAGAGTGTCAAAAGCTCATGTTTTTCTCCAACCACACTCTTAATGATCTGGAGTACTGTCCACAGGTTGTAATATATATATATATATATATATATATACACGGTAATACTGCCACTACAGGGACACTGACTTTAGAATTGTCCATGATGCAACCAAACCATAAAGATAGTTAAAAAGTTTTATTTGACATGATCACTGGTGCCACATAAAGAAATGTGTATGGAATATTACTAATGTGCCGAAAGTATTTAAGGACTATGCCTAAATAATATTATCGTGAGCCTAAACATTATCACAATGTAAAACCATCTGAGTAGTGCTACAGAACTTCTTCACAAACATTTTCCATCTGAACAGTGGGTCACAAACACCCACATAAAGCGCTGACATTTTACTCTTTTCTCTTCTCAACACGTCAGCATGAAGTTAAAGATTAAACAACAAAACTACCTGAAGAAGAAAACCAAGAACCTTCAACCGCAACCATTAAGGAACTCCTAGAAATACCATCAGAATAAATAAAGCATTATGATGCTTGGAAATTGGGTTTAATAAAACTCCATAAATTTTGAGCCTATACATCGGACAATTCTTCACTATGAATAAATAAAACATTTCATTACAAAAAAAGGACACTAGGTGGACGTCCCCCATTGTAAAAAACACATTACGTTAAGTCTACATGTGTAGTATTCCACTTCCAATATCTAATTTAATACAAGTGATAGATTTAGACTATAACAAATGGTCTAAAGTGCAAAAAGGACTTCAGTCACAAACATTATTTCAGCTATAAAAATTCCTGTTTAAAAAACATTGGTCAGTTGGGTCAACTTGTCTTCAGTCTATTGTGATCAATAAGCACCATGATTCTAACTGTAACAATGTGCCAGATGTTGGTTAGTATCCCAGTATCCTCCTCTGTAGCCTGGAGGGACCCACAGCGTGTGCCTTGGAGTGTGAGGAGCTCTGCTGCGAGGACGGAAAATGTTGTGTGGCTGTGGAAACATAGGAACTTTCCCTGGTGTCATCTTCTTAGGGTGCCACGTAGGAGCGGCAGGATTCATTGTCTGAAAAAGAAAACAACAAGTAAGAGGCTGCCATTGACTGAAACACAGGAAATCCTTATTCTAGACACCACTCAGGGTCTGACTCCCGATAAACTGTCAGCAGATAGAAGTTATTAGCGTTGAACAAAATAACACAAACAGTAACAGAACAAAGCAATGTTACAGAAAGATAAAACCTACATATCCATTCCTCTCAATAGCAGCATGACATTTCTTAGCACGGTAATATTAAAATCTATTAGACCATACCTGTTTAGTAGAGCGGCTGTTGGGGACAGTAAGGGGGGAAGTGCGCATGCCTTCCTCATCTGATGAAGAACCTGAGTGATAGTCTGACGTCACCCTCTCCAAAGCACTCGTCACCTTCTTTGCGACATCTTTGTCCTCCTCGTTATCATTTGAGAAACTGGCCACTGAGAAGAAGGGATTTTGTTCTGCATATCTGAAAACAAAAAACAAACAACAATTACAGTCTGAGCAGGATTTATGTGCATACTAAACATGCACCATATGTGGAAAACGTGCAATAACATTGTTCTATACTGTGATAAGTGTATAAAGCTTGAACAAGTATTACAACATTAACATAACTAAATCGCACCTGCAGCACACCTCCCCAGGGTCCACCCATAATGTGAGTTCATGTGGCAGACCCAGGTCCCTGTACTGAATCCCGCTTTCATGGCAGGCCCGAAGGAGCTCTGGATCCTGCCTGTGCAACCTGTTCACTCTGATACACCTGAAGCACACAAGTAAAAAATTAAGGTACAGATATAAATTATGTGGGAGGTTTACAGAAGCTGCCTGCAAGTTAAAAATGTGAAAAGACAGAGATCAGCACCTGTAGGCCTGGCCTTTACTGGGGTTTTCAGGGTACCAGTGTCCCTTGAACTTCTCCTGAAGAGCAACAGCCAGCCTCTCAACAAACAGCTCCACCTTCTCTGCCTCCAACTTCTCCCCTCGCTTCACAAGCCTCTTCAGGAAAAACACCACAGCTGCGATTTCTCTCCTCATATTTCACATGCGTTTCATTACGTTCATACAGCCTCTGTAAGCAGAACAACATTATATCAGATGAGCAGCAGCTCAATGACAGCTGTAACCCAGTGTTTATGACATTTAAATTAATTTTGGGGATTTGCTCATGGTAAGATTTAAGACGATTATGGAGATGGCGAGTTTCGTATGAGGAGTCTCTTCACACATTTGATGAGATTGTCTTGTTCTCATTTGCAATAAACCTCCTTACATCTGATAACAGATAGCACTATCATTACATAACTTTTCATACACAATGGGTTTCTTGCACATCAAAAGTACAGACAGCTCATTTAAAAAGAAGATTAAGCTAAATGTGTGGGGAAAAGCTTCAAGAAGACTCATTTGTAATCACACGAACAAGCACTCAAGAGGATATTGTTTACTTACAGAAAAGTTAAAACATCGATTTTAGAGATTCATTTTTCTTAAAACAATGTATTGTAGTATGGCTTCGCTTGAAATCTTTTTACTTCATTTAAATTTTTTCAAAGCTTTCTTATTTTATCAATCAATGTTTGACAATACAAAAAATATTAAGGAATATCATTATTTTTGCTTTTCTTTAGATAGCAAATTGTTAAAACATGAAATGTTTGTTCCAGCGAGCCCACATCACTGCCCAACTCATGTTGCCATGGGGATTATTCCAGGAGCTAACGGTCCGTCTCAGAAGGCGGGCTGTGACGTAGAAGTTCCGGTTAGCCACGCGACATACACCAAAATAAGGACTGATGCTAGCGAGCTAGTTGTGCTAACGCTGCTAACATAGCGTGACCGTGGATGACTTAAAACCATCAAAGTCCCATCATTCGCAACGTAATAAATTTAAATTCCCCCCTTTCCACTTGTATGAGTATTAAGCGAGTTTCCTGAAGTCAATATTGGCGTATTAGCATTAGCTCTGAAGATAGCATAGCTACATGTGAGCAACAAACACAACAACTGGACCATATATTTAGTGGAAAAAGTTAGAAATTATCATATTGAGTTGTTTTTTCAATAGTCCGTTCACGTTAGGACGCACATGACAAATACAGTGAGGCACACGGCCGACCTACCCTTCCATAAAGTGGTCCCTCCAGCATGTGGGTGAGAATGAATGGTGAAGGAAGTTGGCCAACATAAGTAGCCCTGAGATACAGTTGTAGCTCTAGCGCGCTACATCAGAAGTCCCGCCCCCCGATCGCTCCCATTGGTTGTAAACAAAGCAATGCTGCACATTCATTGGTCGAGTGTTTGCCTGTAGGGTGAGTCCAGGGGTGAGTCATACTGGTTTACTATCATGACTCACAGCGTCAGGCATGTGTTTTTTTTGTTTGTTACAATGGTTGCTTGTAGTGATGTAATTTATCGTAAAATGCGAAAATATGAAAACAAGCGTTCCTCCTAAAGGCTCAAATATAATGGAAGTATTTATATTTGGAAGAAATACACAACTACTCTACTCAATTCCTCTACTCAACACATGAAAATGATTTTTGATCATCGTATTTTCGTTCTTTGCAAATGTTGATGAAACATTTATCAAGTCATTTAAATTAATTTTGAAAGTTAATGGGATTAAGATTCTTATGTTTTTCAAAACCAGTTATGTTCACACACTCTAAATAATAAACATATAATTAACTATGCAGTAAATTATTTTATTTCTTTTATTTGGGATCTGCACATCTCTCCTCCCCTTTTTTCTGAGTGAATTAAATTCAAGCTTTACCCTTTTTAAGATTTATACTAAAATAATAAATAAAATAAATCAAGAGGTTTTTACTGAAACCTTTTTGAAATTGAAGTGACTCTCTTAAGTTACTTTTTTTGAAATGGTAAATAGACTTGAGCTTGTTTATTTCTTTTCTAGTCTTCAGACTACTCAAAGTGCTTTTACACTGCAGGTCACACCTACACATTCACACACTGATGGTAGAAGCCGCTGTGTAAAGTGACCATAAGAAGTAACTAAACCACACACTTACACGCTGTTGACGAAGCAGCGGGAGCAACTCGGGGTAAAGTGTCTTGCCCATATCGGACATGTGGCTGCAGGAGCTGGGGATCGAACCCCTGACCTTCCAGTTGGGAGACGACCGACTAATTTCTTCTCAGCCTTTTTTAAAAATGTGTGCTTTTTGTTGTTATTAGCTCCACATTATCAAGATTTCTCAACATGCGTTCTCTAGCATTGTTCTTCCCCAGGAGAGTGCATGGGTTAATTAATATAAATAATCTACAAAACTAAAATAAGTGGAAGCAGTTGGATCTCAAAACTGTGTAAGATCTTACGAGAAACAAATATGAGAAAATACCAAAAGAGACATGGGAAATGGAAATGGAAATAACAGTTTCGGAAGAAGACTGTGAAGAAGCATGTAAAACAATCATCAAGACAACACAATCAAAATAGTTGCCTGGAAACGTGAAAACGTGAGGGTTTTCTCAACACCAAAAAATCACATAAAAATACATTTTATCAGAAAGCGCTGAATGCTGGAGGCAACCGTCTTTTGTCTGTCTGTTATAAGTATGTGTATATATATATATATATATATATATATATATATATACATATATATATATAACAACCTAATATTTACAGTCTATGATAACAACACGTGCTGTTCAGTTACTATGAAGTTATCGTATTTCCCGGAAATGATCCTCTTTATCTACACCTGGGTCGTTGTAGTGTGTCTTTTATCCACAAGGGGGCAGCAAAGGTTCATGTACCACACGATGCAACAGGCTGTCTGTTACATTTTTCTTTTGCAGGGAAACTAAGGAAGTCCACTGAGGCATGATAAGCAGGTGGGACGTTTTTAATGCACTTATTTTATTTATTTATTTCTCTTTATTGTATTTAGTCATTGATGTTTGACTCAAACTTTAATATTTCAGCCTTTGTGTTTTTTCTCATACATTCCTATAATGTAAAGTATGTTGGGACAATACTGCAGAACTATTTGTTTTTCTGGATGAATTAAAGGTGGAATTAAACAGGCCGGGGTTCTTTTAATCATGCAGTCACAAATTAACTGAAGACCGAAGAACGTTTTTAAAATATGTCATAAAAGATGCAGAGGCACAACTTCAACTATCAAGGTGCATGAGAAAGGCTTGAAGAGGTCGTAAGGCTCCAGCAGCACCTGTAGCATGAAGATCAACTTTATTAACAAATTAGACGGAAGTGTTTCAGACTCTCACCTTCATCAGAGCTCTAAAAAAGTGTGTAATAAAGACATGCAGTAACATTGAAAAGGTTTTTCAGAGTGTGGACTAGGTATGCAACATTTGCAATCTCTATTAAAAAGGAAATAATCTTCAGAAAAGGTAAAGGGGTAATAATGGATTTGAAGGGTCTAAAAATGTAAATTCTGGTGCCGTTTTTTGTTTTGGATTTGGAAAATTTCAAAAAAAATCAGAGAATCGAAAAAGACCAAGTACTTTGAGTTTTCTGTTGTATCTTTCATCACACTGATTTACACAAGTCTTAATAGTTTGCATTAATATTAATGCCCCCGCCCACATATACACACCCACACACAGACACACGCGTAATACTGCAGTATCAGATCTTTCACATCCTTACAGCAGGGTCACAATCCAGAAGAAACCACAAAATGTAGTAAAAAATATTTTTGTTTAATTGAAATATTTTACAAAATACAACCTGTCACTTAAGCACGAATCACACAGCCTGTTTTCGGTCCTTGAACACACAGAATAAATAGAAATGCATCACACGACACAAATGCAGCCTCTTTAACATCAGAAAACAAACGAACAAAGAGTCAAGTCTAAAAAAGGAGGGAGGTGGAAGTGTAACAGGTTTACTTACATCTCCAGTAAAAGAAAAAGAAAAACCATCAATAGAGAAAAACCAAAGCTAGGCAGCCTGCAGCACAAGCCCAGGCATGTTTCCACAGTATGCAAGAACACAGCATTCATAAAAACACACATTAAAAAAAACACACAACTGAGGATCAAATGAGTGGAAAGTTGCTCTAAGGAGAAGTAATCTGAATACTCTCAAATATCCAACACACTGAAGACAGATACAAACCAAGATTAAAGTTTAAAATGAAGCTAAAACCTTTAACCCTAAAAAGGGGTCAAATACATTAAATCTCTTACAAAGAGAGCTGAAAAGAGATACACTGACAAAGCAGACTTTTTCTAAAGCGTCTTTCTGGTTTTTAACCTCGTCCTTCACCAGCGCATAATACTCGACTCGCTCTGCGACTCCTGAGGCGAACTCAGATGGACCAATATTCTTAGAGATATTTTCTACTCGATAAGGCTTCTGATTTATTTCTCTCTGTCTTGCATAGGGTTCCTGAATAAAAGACTGCAGGCTTTCTGCAACACTGACTGTTAATACTATCCCTTAAATCCTTCTTTGTCTCCTTTTGCTCTAAAACTCAGGGACCTCCAGAGGCACAGCACACTCTAAACCATCGTGTTCGTATTGCTGCGTCATCTCGCTTTAGCTCTCACACAGGAGAGAGGGCGAGCCCATCCTAGAACAATATAAAAGATAAATAAAACACAGATACGCCACATGTGCTTGAGAACGAATGATGTCCGACACTTTGAGAAGAAAAAGACAAATGTTTAAAATCACTAAGCCACGTGTGTTTGAAATCGGTTTGGTATTGCAACGACCTCTCTTTAATTCAACCCAAGTCAAATGCTAGATGTTCACATGTGAACAGAAACTATTCAGGCTTTGGTTTGGCAGCTGGATTTCTCTTCCATCACATTAAACTCTCTTCTTCTGATAGCGCTCGTTTTAGTCTAGAGCCTTGCGTACGACTTGTGCTTGAAAGCTTGAGGACAGAAAACAAGTATCAAGTAAATGTCAGCGGCATTAAAAGCTATGATAAAACCAAAAGCTGAGATAAACAGAAACGTTCCCTTGTAGCAGCTCTCTAAACATTCAGAGGCTTTGTTAGCGGATATATCCACGTGCTGCTTGATAAACTGCTCCTACAAAGTATGACTTCATAAACACAGCCGGTAAAGCTTCGTTAGCTTGAACACTTTGATTGGTCTTTTGTTTCTTTAGATTATTTTGTCTTTATATTCAACATAAAGGAGTGCCGTTTATTTAAAGTTTATTTTGTTAAATCTGTTAAAAAATTCTCTTTAGATCTCCATGGAAATATTTAAATCAAACGCTCTGACAAATAAAACCCTGAAGATATATATATTTAAATCTCTGACTGCTCGCATGAATTCATTTGGACAGATGCGATGATGTCACAGTCCACCTGCTGGACTCGTTTTGCACTTTTCAGTGTTTGTGTGTTTCAGGGGAGTGGCTTTGGCTTTTTTTAAACACACATATCTAAATCTAGCTAACTCTTGTTTGGGGCTCAAAATTAGCCCGAATTAGCTCTGAATGCTCAGAAGTTGTTTTGCACTCAAATTCTTTAATACTTCAACATTTCTGATATTTAAAAGACACCTGTATTTGTAAGGATGATTCACTTTTTGCAGATGTGTTCCACGTCAGTTCAGTCTCTCCGATTAAGACATCAAAATGTTAAACATGTACTCAGACGTCTCCTCTAATCAGGGTCTTTTCAAGGAAAGGATAAAACTCTTTTTTGAAGACATTATGTTTCTTTGAGCAGCTTAGAGGAAAATATAAAACGGTGTTAAGGAGAGCAATCAAACACTACACTCGGCAGTGCTTGAACATGATAGACATCGGACAGCTTATCCAAGGCTTTAGGTTACCCCCCCCCCCTCCCCAAAGGAGCACATGTGCTTCTTAATACAGTTTACAATTCACACACATCTATTTTTAGTTGCAATGCACTTTGAAATGCTCATACGACCGCTGCCCCTGTAATCAGCAGCAAGTATTCATCTAGGCTGTGTTGTCAAACACTGCACACACCATCAGATAGCACATGGAGGTGTATGAAGAGGTGTTAAAACCAATATTCAAACAGCCATGTGTGACATGACCACACACTCAAAAATGTTGGACAGCAAAGTAAAACCAAAGAAACTATGAAACCAAATGAAGTCAGATTCTGTTTTCAGTCTATACGCAGTGAATCTTTGAAATATTCTTTTAGGGTGATGTCCAAAAAAGAACTTCCTCTTGTGCTAGGACTCGTCTCCAGCTGCTATCAGCGTGCATTCTGGGTACATGAATTGTAAATCAGTTCATACCAGCAGTCTGTTTTAAACAGCAATTCCTCATTAATCCTTGCATCATCACTGCAACCACGAGAGGAGAGGCCATGTCCACTCAGCCCTTAATGCTGCTGTAATGAGGATCAAACACCTACATGTCACCATGGTGCTTTAGAGTCACACAGGGCACATGAAGGCTCTTCCAGACAGTTAGTTCAAGTGTTCGTCAGCCTTCAGATCACTCTTCACTCTACAGGGCCGCTGCTGTTGCTGCTAGCTTTGACTCCGGCGCGGCTGATCTGCAGCCACGGCAGCTTGGCACAGTTCTTGAATAGCTGCTCGATGGCGATGTGACGCACGTGCAGCTCTGACGCCAACGAGTCTTTTTCCTGCACGGCGACGGTCAGCTCCTCAAAGACCTCTGTGTGGAGAGAGAGAGAAAGAGAGAGAGGAATGAGAATCAGCTGTTTTCATTCAGACACAAGGTCAACTTTTACACAGGCAAACAAACAAAAGAGACAAACTAGATTAAGAGAAGCAATAACAAAGATTAATGAAGGAGCAGAAAGCAAAGACAACATGGCAGACAATGCATCAGTGTGAGATAGGAACTAATCAAACTTTAGACAGGGATCTCAGCTTGTGTACCAAAACAGTCATGGACGTAGTTTTTTTCTGACGAGACAGTTCTAGAAGTCAAAGGTTATATACATTTTCAGACCATTTACCACCAAACCTCTGAAGAACCACCTTCCACACAGATACCAACACAGTGACAAATAAAACGACACTCAACACTTCTAAACAATAACAACAATAATGTAAAAGCAGCAGTAACAATATCAAAAAAATAATAAGGGCAAGGAGGACAAAAAAATGACTATGAAGAAAAAGATGACAAAGAAGGAGGACAAGAAGAAGAAGACATAACCCTGTTCAGACTGCTGTTTCAAGCAGCGATATTTACACCCCTTTGACGTTTCGCCTTCAATCTGAATGAGAGGCGCAATGGGGGACAAAGTGATTCCCCCTCTCTGTACGGCCTTAGGAGGTCGTAACAGAAGCGTGTGATTGTGTGTCTATATATGTGGAGCTCCCAGTCTGCTTTTTGGCCCTTGTAGTCTAATCAAATTCCGCTGACTCAGTGACAGATACGTCTCTGGTGTTGAAGTCAAAGCTCAAAAATTTCAATCATGATGTGGATATTTTCAATGCATTACTATCTCCCCTTTGTACAACAAGCTAACAAGCTCTGTTGGGAAAGAAAAGTGAGCGTCAGTGCTTTTAAGAGCACCCTCTTTCCTCGTTCTTTCTGCAAAAGGTAACAATAGAATCAGGCTAATTTTGACGCTGACGCTCGCATCGCGTGCTGTTTGGACAAGCACATTTATTTTCTGTAATATTTAAATGAACAACAACTTTTGTTAACCCCTTGTATTATATCAAAAATGTACAATCATTTTTCTCTCTAGTTAATCAAAATTAATGACGTTTCTTTTTGAAGATTTCTATTTTTTTTTTTGACTTTTCACACCTTTTATTTTTAGAGACAGGATAGAGTCAGAAATCGGGGTGTGAGAGAGAGAGAGAGAGAGAGAGTGGGGAACGACATTCAGGAAAGGAGCCACAGGTCAGATTTGAAGTTGGGCAGGCTTCTCTGGAGGACTTCTAGGGGCTAGAATACTGACACCCATTAATGACAGTTTTTGTCAGGTTGTGAACAATGGGAGTGAAACTGTCAGGCTTTATTAAAACACTCAATCGAATCACCAGTGGTAATCCAGCACAGTTTGGAAATCTCTGCTGTAGATCATAAAACTAGGTCATGTGTTGTCTTCCTAAATATTTTAGAGCTATATTATCCCATTCTGTCATGAGTAATATTATGATTATTTATGGACCCGGTTGCTCCTGAAGGGTGACTAAGAATGTGTACGCCACAGGACTTCACTTGTCAGAGGAGAATTTATAGTGGCTTGCATTATTTCACTCTTGACATGAACCAGAGTGACAGTTTGGTTAATCTGATCCCTGTGAAAATGAAAATAACTATGCGGCTCCATGATGATTGGGATCTTATACTTGCCCTGCTAAAGCCGCCACCCCAGGATCTGCTGGGTACTTGAATTACAGATGTAAAAAAAAAGTAACTTGCCTGAGACCTGATGTGAGTTTCTTAGCTGTCACTGTGTGTAGAAAACAATGAGTCTAAGTGTTGCAGACTGAAGTGAACAGACAGGCAGGGTGTGCGTCAGAGAACACTCCACTGTGGCCGATTCAACACAGCTTGTCACATGAGAGGAGATGATGTGTTGACTAGAGAAGGCCTCCAGTGTTTATCAGGCCTGCTGTATTAAGTCTTCTGTTCTGAATTTGTAATATGGCGTGTGAACACTCAGTACTAAATCTGCTTTTACCTGAAGGCAACAAGTCTCTATGAAGGGCATTTATAAACATGAGCGTTACAGATCGAGGGCGACCGACGGCGTTCCTTTTAAAACCTTCATCATTCAAACTTTATATCAAAGCCTGTGTTACGCTGCCGTAATGAACAACTTCACACACATAAAGTGAAGACCACTTACTCTGTAACTGCATCAGTAGCTGGCCGTTCAGCTGATGGAGATCGTCCACACTCATTTTGGTCACTAAAAGAAAAAAACAGTTGGGATTATTTACCTCCAGTGTACACAGCATTTGGCTCAGTCACAGCTCCGTCATGGTCACTATGTGTACTGGAAAGGTTTCAGAAACATCTGCTCTTCAGCGAACACTTATCTAAGAGTTGTTTTGATGTTTGTAAGCATCAACACTGTCTGTAGATTTAGTTCTGTATGGCCTACGATTCTTTTCTAGTATTTTAATGTGTGTTTCACAAGTGATAGTGTGAAGTAAACACTAGATTATAATTCAAATTGAGCATTTTCCAAGGAGTAAGTTTGAATACAAGCATTTTTCCACCGCAAATTGTAAAATTAAGTTGTTTGGGTTTGGCAAATTAACTCAATCACGAGGCACTGATGACCTAATGTTTAGGTAGCCCCTCATGTACGGAGGCTTTAGTCCTCAAAGCAGGGGGCTTCTTAAGAAAAATCAACTCAATCATCGAGCAAATAGTACTGTTTAAGTCAACGGCAAATGAATACATTTCTATACATCCATGACTAAACTATAGACGGAGACACAAGCAGGTCCAGTAAACAAATGCTGCAGCACCCATCCACACCCCCTGTATGTATGTAAATGCACTTGTGTCTGTAAATATGCAGGCTTAAAGTATTCAGAGCACTGAGTAATGCAGGTTGATGACAAGCTTTAGTAAAAACATGCACAAAAATAAAAGCAATGTGTACCTTGTCAAATGCCTGTCATGTCTCATTTACAATATTAGAATTTATAGTAGGCACCTTTAGAGAAGACTGTACTCATAATCAGCTTTTAGTACTGATGTGATACGAGGGAGCCAAGAACAATCTGTGTCTCAGGGTTATAAGAAAAACAACTTTTCTCAGCACCGATCAACACAGAAGAGGACGAAGGGCAGAGCGATTAGGAATGTGTTACTGTTTCGTCTTCTGACTTCTGACACATAAATGCTCGGAGGTTTCTGAATTCTTCAGAGAGAGTTCAGAGATTAAGGATGACAGACAGCGATTCAATCCTGGTAATGGATATTGGTCCGATACTAAACCAAATAGGTAGATCGGGTATCTGTGACATTAGACTGATCCATGGAGCTGATCCTCAAGGCTGATCTATACAACCCAGTTCTATACTGATATTCTGTGTTTACAGCAGCACCTGTGTGTGCCACGTCATTGTCGACAGTTCGCTGGTAGACCTATGCATTTTGCTATGCGGAGCCAATATAGTGTGGAGGATGCTAACAACAACGGTCAAACAGTTTGGATGTATTTCAAACAGGGGGTTAGTGATGCTGTTGTGGTATAGAGACTGTGGGTCAGATTGTGGCAGTAACTTCTATTACTACTTCAATTTACCACAGAGTCAGTTACTAAAGTAAAAAACGTCTTAGTGCTTACATTCATCTCTGCTGTGTCCCTGGTGTCTGAGCTGCGTCTGTCCTCCTGACGACGGTATTCGGCTGTGCAGACCATTCCTGCCATCACTGGACCAAACATCAGACGACGACTCCTGCAGCAGCCCAAACTCCTCCGCCGTGTGACACTCCAACATTCCCATGGCGTAATCTGGCAGCCCTGTAGCTTTGCATGTGTCCCAGCGGGGCGTGTACCTGGGAACCTGGGCATCTGACTGTGGTAGCAGCTTGCAGTCACCTTGACAAAGCAGCTTGGCCCCCCGTCTGCTGGGGCAATTAGAGGGGACTGAGTCTTTGTTCTGGGCATACTGGATGATGCGGTTCAGTTTCTGGCTGAAGGCCAGCTTCATGCCCTCGTAGGCACTTCTGGACACCTTGGAACGCGACAGCTTCTGGTTGGCAATGAGGTGACATTTCTCAAAGCAGTCTCTGTGGCCTCGCAGGGACTTTGAGTGCAACAAGGTGGCAGAAGAGATGCCTGCAATCACACAGACAGAAAGCAATGAGTCAACAAGTGAAATATGACTGAAGGCTATAGACACTCAAACAAAACCATTTATTCTAATCACTATCAACTCACATACTTTTATCAGAGAGCCTGCTCGGATTTAATTGAGTTTCATTTCCTTTAAGCTTTGATTTATTTCTTTTCTCAATAAAATAATCAATTTCTCAATACACTGTGTGGGTTTTCACTTTCTTCTGCTAATCTGCTAATGTTATCCCTCAATTGTAATTCACCTTTTTATAGCACTTTGTAATGTGGACTTCAAAATAAGCTTCATAAATAATGTCATCATGTATGATCTTTACCTGGATTCCAAAGAGTCAGTGTTTCAAACCTCTATCAATAAGATAAATAAAATAGTAAGAAATAAACAAATTATCCAGGCAGCTAATGAGAAATGCAATACTGACCCATTGAACTTGCCACAGCAACTAAAAGTAAATGAGTATGAAATCGAGCTTAAACTGGCAGATTGACCTGCAGCGATCCCTGAGGGAAAGCCGCTTAGTGAGCAGTGGATTAGCCAGTGGAGCGTTGAGATAGCAGGGATAATAGATTAACCCTGTCTCCATGCATACACATAAAGCATATTTGGAAATTTTAGGAGGTGAACAGAGGTCTCAGTCTGCAAGAAGTAGCACTTCATTAATATATATATATATTTTTTTTATCTACTTGTCCTTGTCAAGCAATAAGGAAGATGCAGAGACAAGCTCCACTCTTTCAAAAGAATGACACTGTGGGAAAACATAACAAATATGTCTAAGTCCATATCAAAGCCAGTTTAAACAGACAGTGAACCTTGAGCCCACAAACCAAACATTCTCAGCTTCTCATCAAAGAAAGCAGAAGTAGAGTAAGGCTATAAAATACCTCGATTGGGGATCATAATAAAACGTCCGTTGATAGCAGTCATAAAATCTTTTTTTGTGGACATGAAAAAATCCAACAGCCTATCACACACAGGAATAGCAACAACAGCCAGTTAATCCGCAGTGTTCTGATTGCATGTAAAGACCATGACCACTTCATACTGTAAAACATTGTTTGAGCTGTCAGAGAGGAAAGTGGATGTCTTCTGAAACAGACAAAAGTTAAAGTGTTTGGAAGCCAGGGTAAGAGTGAACCAAAATAAAACTACCATAAACGGTAACATGATGTAAATCATGTGGATAGAAGTTGCAGCTCAGCTAGCAATCCCCCTCACTGGACATCCTGTGCCTTGTAGAGACGGTGGAGGGACACTTTAATATAACTGAGTAACCTTTTTCCATTGTATGGCTGCAACAGCATCGCAACCATGCTTTGCCACTGTATGCCACCCTAGCCTTATATTGGTGTCCAAGTGTGTGATTTTACACTGCATTACCAACCAAGACATGTAAATAAGCAACAGGAGCGTCACAAACACACAGACTCAGACACACACAGCAGTGATTCCTTTAGTTTTTTATAATTTTTTATAAAAAAAAAATGGGGGGGGGGGGGTAATTTGCTTGCCCTATGTACAGAGCATGGATGTATGATAGAAATGGTTAACGCATTGAAGGCGGAGTCCCGTTCATTCCGATGAAAGCTGCTAAGTGGCGCATGAAGCAAAAACAGTCCGACTTCGGCGTGTTAAAATATCCGGATCAACTCTGTTCAACTCTGACCCTTGGCTCCTTTCCCACATGTCATTCCCCATTCTCCCTGCTCTATCAACTGTCCTATCTAAATAAAGCCACACACAGAAAAATAAATAAAAACGAATCAATACAGTAAAAATTATGGTGTTTATATTTTGCCAAGCACAAAAGTTCTGCATATATGGACCTGTGTTGAATAATTCAAATGGTGAGAAAATAATGTTTCCTGGATCCACTAAAAACAGGTCACACTCTTACCATTTTAAAATGCACAGAGGAAATTAACAAGCAGCAAGTGGACCAAAATTAAAAATAACCTCTAGGAAACTGGAGCAGAGCTTGATAAACAAAGTGAAAGTGGAGGTGAAATAGAGTGAAAACTGTGTTTGTGCAGGAGATAATAGATGAGGCTTTAGTGAGAGTGTGTGCACAGGTGTTTGTTTGTGCGATGGCCTTCCTTTAACGGCCTACATTTCTCAGCAGACAGGCGTATGTGTCAGAGGCGGAGGTGAAAGGATTAGTCACTTATTGTCTGTATAGATTTTAGAGCTCACTTGGGTACGTTCACAACAGGCCTCTCTCTCAGCAGACAGATGAGCATAAGAAGCAATAAGTCATGACTACAACATGAATATGTACATTTGTACAGACACACACCACCATTACCAAGCCCTATTGTTAAATACAGATAACAGACAATGTCACTCTTTCTTAGTGTTAAATCATCTTCTGAGACAGTTGTTTTGACAGAAATATATCCTCCAATTGTTTCGATCCCTGGTCATTCCCTTGAATGTCTTTGAAATGATGCTTTATGCCTGCAGGATCTGGGCAAATAACATATCATTCTAATCATATAACAATTCTGTGGGACAGTCAGCACTAATGGATCTTATATGCCTCAGTACATAGGAAGGTATTAGCTCATTACACAACTGTATTTGCAGAGAGCTATTCTTAGCATATGCATATATTGACCCTAGTGCAAAGAAAGACTTAACATGGATTATATTTGGGATGGAAGGAACCAGTGTGTGTAAAGGAATGTGGATTTTTGTGAGAGATTTTAGCCTACTGAGCGGCCAATAAATGTCTTCACTAGTAGCTGCAGAAGCTTTCTGTCTCTCCATCAGCCATGTTATAATCCGATCAGTCCCAGTCTTTGGACTACCACAAAAACACACTGACTACCACTTTGCAGAGTAGAGAAATCATTGGCCCACATACAGGCCGGTGCACCACCAGCCAAAGACCTCACTCCAGCTATAAGCAGCTTAGCGCTACTGTCTTTCATGGCTGCACACATAAGCACGGACCCCCGCACGCGCCCGCCTGCAGCCGCACACACCCCCCCACACACACCCCACTCACTGGAGGTGAATTAACATTGTTCGGCTGTAACAGCTAGAGAAACTGAATACAACAACATTGATGAGTGAGAGGCTTGTTCTTTCTGCCCTTTTGTGAGTAGGGAGTCAAGGTTAATCTGTTCAGTGAATACTAACAAAATCAAAGACCCTCATAAAAAAAAGTACAATACAAAGACATGGTATGTCCTATAATTATCAGTGGTTCCAGAAATCAAATACATTAAAACACCACAAGAATCAGAGGAGCCAGAGCTTCAATCAAAACAGAAATACAGTAGCTCTAGTTAAGGAAAGTGTCAGACGTAATGTTAAACAAGTTTCAATACTATCAGAGTACAGAGTTATGCGGACACGTTCCTTTTCTCTTGCCCTGGAGAATCATGCCCTAAACCCTAAGTGTGTGTGCTGAGCATGGACATAGGATCCATGACACACTTCAGAGGAGCTGGGACAAGTGGAGTAGAGGTCACTTGTGGAAAGGTGTCAAATAGGGCTACATGGCACAGCCTGGAGGAATGTGTAGTCAGCAGCTGCATTGGACAGCTTGGACACCAACAGGCAGCTCATGAAAACAAGAGTGAACTCAATGACATGTGAACTCTAACCACCTTTTAACCAACACACATTTTCAGCAGCATAACAGACATAACTGCACTGAATAACACATACACAGAAACTGTTATTTTCCCTCAGACTGCGATTGGAAAATTATACAAAAAAACTGGAAGAGACGGACTATGAGCTCTAGGGGATGAAACCTTCATCTTCCTGTTCCTTTTTTTGTCTTTGGCATTTTGTACCATTAAAATATTTAAACAAATAAAAGTGTTAGAAAACAACAAGATCCCAAATTATACATAACACCTGATTAATTAACATGCTGAGTTAGAATTGAACATGTAAATTGAATGAACCTGATAGCTATACCATCTGTTTCGGTTATTTTACCCAAAGATCACTGAAACATAAAAACAAGACTCTCTTCACAGTTGCACACACACATCAGCTTTCTTATGCCAAATGGGGATTTAAAAAAAACAAAATGACATCAACAACAGATACCACAATTAAAAGTTAATAGAGAGTGTAACAGAGATACAGGGCAACCTGAGCTGTGGCGGCTGTGCGGTCTTACCACTCACCACTCGAGGAGGGAAGACGATAACTACCTTTACCCAAAAGTAAATGACGCTGGTGTCTGTCAGCAGCTTACAATGTAAATATGTTAGTTTAGGGCTTCAAAAAACAAACAGAGAAAAAGTAATTAATGTCAGAGTTTAAGGCGGTAAAAAAAACAAAAAAACTATTATTTCTATTTGAGTAGATAAAGTAGATTATGATAAATGTTACTTATTCACACGAGTTCAACAGCCAAATAAGAAAGGAACCAGTGGGCACAGAAGAGCAGAACGTTCAGAAAACCTCTGGACCCCTACTGTGTTCAAACATATAGCTACCACAGTCAACATAATTAGGCCTCTCTGCACCCTGGGGTGAAGAGTTCAGCCTCAATGAATGAGCTGTTTATGAGAACACGCTACAATAGCCTCTGTCGAGCAGCAACCAGAATCAGCTCTAACTGAATCATTCCTAACTCCTGCTGCAAGAATTTTCTGCATGTACTCCTGCTAGTATCTCCAAGACTTCAGCAAAACTCTGCCTGTACTATGTAAGAAAATAAAGGAATGGTGGTGCGGGAATTAGCTTAACCTGGCAGCTGAACAGACGTCTGGCCTCTGACGCAGTGTCAGAGGAGACCAGAAGACCATTGGAGGAAAATATCTGTGTACAAAAACGAAGGTTGAAACACTGAAAACTTACACACCAGCTTCAGATCTCTCAGGGTTTTAGGAAGCACAGCTTGTCACATCCAGTAAGGCCAGTACATAGAAAAAAAAAAAAGAAGCTCTCTAGATTGATATATGCTGCACTCAACACTCATTCCTGAAGAGTAAAAGTCAGATTAATATAT